TTGAGCGCCTTCTAGGTTGGCCAGGGGAGTTTATCTCCAGGAGATATTTTTTCTGCCAAGGGGAGGAAAGTTGAAAGAGGGAACTCATTTCGTCATATGTTTCCTGCTGACAGTAAGAACGCTCGTTGTTATTGTCGGCAGGAATTGTGTTGAGGAAACTGTTGCGACTTTTCATTTTGATTTGATTTTGAGCATACGGTGGGTAGCTAGAATCAGTTTTCTGTTTCCATTTTTATCTGTTTAGTTCTGTTTACGTTGTTTTAATGCATTATTATTATTTCTGTGTACAAGACATGTCAACAAAAAATACAGCGTTTTCTGATATTATGATTATCAAATCGCAATAACATTAGGCAACGAATATAAAAGCATTACAACAGTAAGGAGATAATAAATACCTTATTTTACTTTCTAAAACAATGTACTTACCTTAACTCTACGCGATTTTAGTGAAGTTAGTGAAAGACCGATAAATTACCATAAACGGCCCTCGGCCCTTGCTCCAGGTTGATTATGATGTATGGAATGCTAATGCTGACCTAACTCGTCAACCTCGAAATGTTTGTACTATTATTAGTTTTGTTCATGCTACTACATACTAAGCAAGAGTAAATTAAAAGATAAAAAGCTTTTTCTAGATCTTGGCAGCTAAGTATTTTTCCTACTCGAGTTGAGTTCCTGAATCTATTTCCTATATCTTAATATTCAGTGTCAAAATTTATTCATGATTTTTATATTTGTAAAGAAATGTAAATTATTTATGCAAACGATGGCATAGCGTAAATCCATGGTATTTGCGTCAAGTTCATTTTTATTAAAGGGTTTCATTAAAGTTTCACTAACTATCCGTGTGGTGACGGATTAAGAATACTATTAGCTTAATGGTAAGATGTAAGTCATATCGTCTGTATTATTTTTCTTAAATCTACAGAATTAAAAATCCAGTTTTAAGATAAATTTATTTACACGTCTGAATATTGCAATCTACTAGTGACGCTATCCGTTTGGTGATGGATTAAGAATATGTCCGTATTCTTCACCACCCCTATTCATCCCGTGGATGTCGTAAGTGCCGACTAAGTGAGTAAACTACGCAGGACAACAGCACTGCAAGAGTAGGAAAACTTAAAACAAACCCTGTACCAACCCGTCTGGCCAGCGTGGTATAGTAGGCCAAATCTTCCCTTCTAAGGAGAGGCCTATGTCCAATAAAATTGCATTCTGATATTAAAAATAATTATTGTGAAATACCCAAAATAAATCACATTCCGTTACCGTTACTTTAGCGAAATCTATATATACTCGTATTCGCTTTTTAGAAGATTGTGTTATAATAGGGTACTTAAAGTTTTTAGCATGCTCGTTTTTATGGTTCTTAAATAACATAAAAATATTTTATAGTAATATCATCATATGGCTATTGCGAAATCAAACGGTACATTTAAAAATTTCGACACATCTACTGTTTGATAAAAAACATTAATAATAATCAAATACAGAGCAGACTAATGCATCGGTGATCTGTAAATAATGTCAGAAGCTAATGCCAGACATGTTGACATTATATTATCAAACTAGTTCAAGTTGCATTATAAACAATTAAGCAGTGAAAGTGTCTATATGTATCTGAACGTCAAGCTCGTCAAACAGGATGCAATCCACGCGGTTGTATTCCCCAAGTAAAGCGGTATTGAATTAGGATTAGGCTAATAAAACGTATCAATCTAGATTTTGCCGCTTGACTGATCAGTCTAGATAGGTACCTGAAATATAAATGCCAGTTTCCCAGAGACCGACTTCAATAAATGTATAATAACAAGTTTATTATAGAACCTGATCTTTCACCGATATTTTGAACAAAGTATTGACATTATCCTTTCTTTAATTTATTTAACATATTACAAAGCAATTTATAATTATTTATCATAATAGTGCATTTGAAAACCACTGAAGTTGTACCATGTGTCCATATGTATTACCACCATGTGTCATTATGTAGGTACTTTTAAAATAATTATATTATCTAAGCGTACGGGCGCAGAACGGTGAAGTGAACTCCGAGTCAGGCAAGAAGAGGATGAGGGATTACTTACAAACATGACAAACATGAATAAAGAAAGAAATTGTGTTTGATATTTTTTTCATTTAAGCATTTATTTATTTCGGAGGGTAGTTTATTAATTAATCGCGGTACTATGTATCGTGTTGTTATCTCTCCGAACACGTTAGCAGCGCGTGCCGTTTGCAACCGGTTTAGTAAGACTGCTCGTGTACATACAGAATGTTCTATTTTATCACCGCAGTTGTATTTAAAATACTTTTCTTTCAACAAACATAAATATTTTATTTTTAGGTGAACGGGTTGAACTTTACAGTGTTTAAAAAGATTTCCAGCTCATTGTTCCTATATTGTAAATTAATCTGTGGAGATGTTATTGTCTATCAATATCTTAATCTATAAATAATATTTTTATGAGTCTTTTAAATCCGTCCGTAGACACGTATCATCGGCAAATTGATAACAGGTGCTCTGTTTAAAACAATTGCTCATATCGTTCACATATGTCAAGAAATGAAGAGGTCCTACAACTGATCCTTGTGCCGTACTCTCGGAAACAGTGACAGTATCACTGAACGCATCGTCAACCTTATTATATGAGCGATTAGAGAGATAATTTTTAAATCATTCTAGTACTGGTTCACGTATCCCACAAGTGTCAAGGTTTTGTGGAGCACGTCGTGATTAAGGTGTAGTGTATACCCAATTTACACACTTTTATATTATTTACATTTCATTATTTTACACTTATTTCTACAAAGGTAATTTCGATACCGGATGGTCGATAATTCATTTCGAATATTACCGACTGGGTCCGATCCCTATTACCGCGCATGCGTGGGATTTTTGTGATGTCGCTAAGCTACGTTGAATGGTGTCATTTTTCTGCCTTAGCAAATTTTTGTGTGTGCAAATTTTAATGTATTCTCAAGACTTTGGACTTTGAGTTGGTTTGGTTGCGTGCTTTCTTCAATTTCTACTGCAAGATTGTATATTCAAGCTTTAATTAAAAATTATATTGTTCTTGAAATGTTTGTGATCTTTTAGTGCCGAGTTATCCTTCTGATATACCTACTCCCATTACCTACAAAGGGTATCGAAGGGATGGGAGAAGTCGATGAAGAGTATTAGGGTATGCTTTCTTTCACTATAGACTCGTTAACTTGGTCAGTAAACTTTGAGAGGATGTCACCAGCACCCTTTCCCTGCCGAAAGCCAAATTGATTTTTGAAAACGATTTCTTTATCTTTATAAAAATTATTATAATTTTTCAACTATTTTGTCGATGGTAGAGAGAAGCGTGATAGGCCGATAGTTGCTATATTAGTTGCGATGGCCTTTTTTAAAGATATGTTTAACGCAGCCAATTTATAATTGATTAGGGTACTCACCAGTTTCAACAATATAGTTAATAAGATTAGCTATTGCTGAGAAATGCAACTCTTTACTGTTTTAAAATCAGAAACCGAAATAGCGTCTAAACCTGGAGCTTTTTTGAAATTTAATGTTTTTATTGGAACGAAGTTCCTTATCGCGCGTTGTGAAGGGGGCTAGACGGAAAAAAATCGTACGAAAATTTGTCACGACACTTTTAATATAAATTGACGTCTAACTGTGGATACCATACATTAAATTTACTTTAACGTTCGCCAACGTCCATACCATGTTGAATACACCGGTTCTCGTCCGATCACCGAAGTTAAGCAACATCGGGCGTGGTTAGTACTTGGATGGGTGACCGCCTGGGAATACCACGTGATGTTGGCTTTTTGCTCTTTATTTTCGTGTCATCTTGTCAGACATTCAGCGCCATCTATCGAATAGATAGGAAATCATTTCGCAAGGAGATTTTACCAATGTGTAAATTGTTTTAATTGTTTTTAATATGTAGGTAATAGCCGCTTTCATAGATGGCGTTGTAATTAAAATCGTGTCAAATCAGTTTTTTTCGATCGTCACAACTTCGTTCCTATCGGGTGTCCCACGACACCACACGGCTTTTTTTATGTCATCAATTTTGTTACTCGTAGCCTATTGGAACTGAATGCTAGAGTTATCGGGATTGTCAAACGCATTCTTATCTAACAATTGGGTCTTAAATTGCGTAATATTTTTTTTGACCGCCTGATCAAATTCATTAGCGAACCCATCTGCCAGATCCTTTGTTGGAATACCTTGCGATTGTAATACTTTAATAATGGCTTCATCGACGGATAAGCTTATGCGGCCTAGTATGTGATTTATAATCTGATAGGTTTTTTTAATATTATTGAAATTATCGCTAATAGTATTTATGTAACAAGAGTTTATTTATTTATTTATTATAGACACGCCAACAGTTTACATATACAACATTGTTCAAAATGCAGTTCAATATAAGGATAGTTCTTATATGTAGACCAATTACAGGCATGCACAGTATACATCGTTAGGTTGACACACATTCAAGTAGTAACAAAATTAAGACCAAAGTGAACGAGACTAACAGAAATTTAGTACTTAGAAACTAAAGACAGATAAGTCCAAACAATTAAAGTGGCAGTCATGCAAACGATTTCAGTATCATATCCTTAAAGTGGGAATGTAAGAGAATTGTGGAAAATATCCAGTTGGTCAATTTTACCATTCAGCATATTGTAATCGCGACAGGCACGCACCAAAGGAGAGTTTAGGCCCAAGTTAGTTCTTGATAGTTGTAGGCAGAAAGTTCTAGTCAAGGGATGGCGAGGCGGCTTCCGAGGAACTGCAAACATTATACGGTTTGATAAGTCACTGCAGTCGATATTATTATTGACTATTTTGTATAGGAAGAGCATTTCATGTAACTTGCGGCGGTTGGATAGAGAATACATTTTGAAATACTCTGTTTGTAACTGTACCTGTGTGTGATGCCTTGAGAGATGAAAGCCAAGTGCCGTGTGAAGGCACGCTGAATACCTTCCTACCACCATCCTTTCAGCTCTTCCGTGACTTTAAGCTTAACTATGGACATCATTTCCTGCTTAATTACATCCCTAATATTGTCAAGAGTGAGTTTCGCTTCATGACGCAACGGCTGCTGGCTTGCTCTAAAAGTGATGTTCGAACAGGATGGCGAGTCGTTCTTTACTGTAGATGTATAGTCAGACCCGGGTGAAGTTACCGGATTAGCAGCTTGGCAAATAGGTGTATTAGTGTTTCCTTGTTTATACACTCTGGACATCACCATGCACATTTCTGTTCTTTATTCATGTTATTAAAGCGTTTTTCAGAAACTGTCACTCTGTACAAAGAGGTTTGATTTACTATGCGCTAGCATAGTAAATCAAACCTCTTTGTACAGAGTGAGCACACCAAAAGCTCCCTGGTTTTTATTGTGTACTTACATCCAGCACAAACTTGATTAGGTGCCATAATAATGTTTAGTATTTAAAAAAGTGGGTAAATACAACTCGCAAAAGCAACAAGTGAACAGCACAAACAGTAAATTTCTACAAGTGTCAAGTATTTTATGGATTTTATTACGTAATTTATTATACTCTAGTCGCAATTCAAGATTACTAGTCTTTGTTTCCATGTGCTAAATAGGCGGTCGCATTTTTTACACAATTTGTAAATATTTTCATTGATCCAGGGACCCCTGGCATATTTTATATTTTTGTTAAACTGGCCTGGTCATGTGCACCGTTTTAGGGATCACTGATGAAAGTATAAATTTTGCTTGGGGCGGTTCATATCACCTTATTTAATTAATCATTTAACACTTTATAATTTATATGTGTCGTTTTAAAAACTTAATATATAAATTAAAAATAAAATATTGATAAATATAATAAAATAATGCACATGAACTGGCGAACACGGCGCTGTCACTCGTAATTCCACTTATGGAGGGAAAAGGTCGAGAGGGTCATCGACATTCAGTTTAGTGGGTAAGGTTCGTGTAATAGATGAGTGGTGCGATTGCTAGCGATAAAGCATCAAGGCGGGCGAACTCCGCGGAGGTGGCGTCCTGAGGTGAGAAGCGTGGCAATAGGGCGTGACATAGCGCGCCAGATACCGTCGACGACTAAACACCCGTCTCGACGTTGCTCCACACAACTGACTTTATTTCAATAGCTTCTGATATGGGACACAACAAACATACAGCAATACGCTCAGATAAGAGAGCCCTAACTTGCTGCAACACAGAGAAGTTTGAAGATAGGTAGGAGAAAGTTGTAAACACAAGCTGATTGTAAAATACAAAAGTTGTATAGGTATACTCGTATATATCAGAATACCAGTGTTGTTTTTCTGTCTATACTTACTTTAATATGAGACAATTCTTAAATACATTAGTTTGATGCGATTTTAATAGTTTCACTTTATTAGTTACCATCTATGAAAATATCTACAAATAAATCCACCAATAATAAGTATTATTTAAAACCGCATTGCATATTTGTATATACTCTAAAACCCTTAGGCACAGTACTGTTTTTAGATGTGTTATCTCTATTCAATCTTAGGTGACATGTCTACCTATAGACTATCGCCAAATTGGTGACATGTCTACCTATAGATTACTGCCAAATTTAAGGTTTCTAGTACAAATACCAAACTTACGAGCAACTCTTTAATCTGATGTTATCGCAAAATTAACTAAAATATCCTATCATCAAACTACTTCTGTAAATAGTGTATAGAAGATTAATCAATGCTACTTAACCAATTTAATTTTTTTCATACAGAGGCAAACTAAGCAGAACCTATACTATATTAAAGAGAAAAGTACTGACGCAGGAAAAATGAATGTGCTCATAGCATAATTACTTTAGTTAGGTGAGAAATGAAAATTAAACTACGACACATAGGGTCAGGTTCAGATAGGATCACAAACCTAGATCAACGGCCCTGCCATTATGTTATTAACGTATTCAAAATCATATATTGTTATTATCCATAATATTTAGCTATTGATGTCTTATTTGAAACTAGCGTAATTACTATGCTCCATTAATACTTCTTGTTTGCGTAATATATAGCCTTCATCTCATGTTTGAGCAACGTAAGTTTTTTTTTGTAGATTTATGGACGTGGGAATAACATTTTTTTTTTTAATTTCCAAAAATGCAGGCTTCTTGTGGTATTGACTGGAATTCGCACAACCGTCACAATAATTTAAATACCATAACACATTACAACCAAGTAATGCATCAATGAGGCAAGAATAACTATACCAACACTTACATATTTTTGATTACATGAAGAAAACAAGCAGTAAAAAGCTCAAAAGTAGCTTAGAGTAAGCTTCATGAACTTACCCCGCTTTAGGCTAATACTTTTTAGCATTCCAATGAAATTAAAAGTGATATAGAAAAATCTAGCGGACTAAGCGTTTAAAAAACTATATACAAATATTCAAAACCAGACTGTAATATTCTTAAAGTGACTGGCAAACATTTTATGGCTTCAAGGACGTTCTTGGCAGCACTAACATACCACAAAAATAAAGCAAACGAATTAAAAACAGTTAAATAAATGTTAATTCTATTAGTACTCTCGTACTTAATATACCTATTATCTCTTCAAACATACCTACTGCTCGTATAACCTAATATTATTAGCTATATTACATTGTCTAGCATTTTCTCTTTTAATGATAATTTCGTAATTTTATTCGAATTATGTTCGAACCATTCTATAACATTCATTAGAATAAAAAACTCATTGGAATGTTGGACATAAAATAATTTACTTATAGTAGTTATATATTATGTATGTAGATAGGTACATCGTGATGTAGGTATGTACACTTATAAATCTTAAGTCTGTAATTATCCTTTTATTTCGACTTGAAAAGAGTTATGTTATGCCCAGAGCATTACTGCTCTTAGTATTTATTACGATAGTAACATGGACGTATAAAAAAAGTCGGACATAGTCTCGCTAACAAAAAACAGTGTCACTCATAGTGTGTGAACCGTAAGAAAAAAAATCCAGGAATCCCGTTTCATAGGTAAATGAATAATTCAATCTCTTATTTCCAGATTTTTAACATTAAATTCAATCTGCGTTCGCTAGAACAAAATAATTCATAATAAGCCCAGTGGAAATTGCCAACACTGGGCTTTATTATGGGTTTATTATTAAAATCTGTTTATTAAGGTTATTTAATAAATAAGTAAATAGCTACTACTATTTATTTTATTTATTATTCTTTTTACTAGATTTTCTAAGGAACATGGGGTATGGAGAAATTATTGTATTGAAATAATTAGAAACTGTAATGGTGAAAATGAAAGACAACACAAATATAATATATTCTCACAAAAATTCTAGAAAAGTTAGTTGGAAATGCAAGCGTTTTTTTAAATCAAAATCATCACCTATTAAATATCATATAGCAGAAAAATATTTAACGATATGGTTTCACGACATCTCGAAATTAGAAAAAAAAATTAAGAACCTCTGAAAGTAAAAGATTATCATAAAAAACCTAAGCTTTTGGGATATTAAACAGTAGAAACAGTAAAATTTGGAACAAATAAAATATATTTATTCATTGACTATGTTTTAGGGCATACATTTGGGTAACTTGGCAATCCCAAATTCATTCAAACATACAAAGCTGCCACTATTACGGTGCCTCAGTTTTGTATTAGCGGGAGTTCCGTCCCACATTTTCCAGTCTGTGTCAATGCCTTGTAGTGTTTTAAAACTTTTAGGTTTAAAACACTACAAGGCACGTCCAAGCTAACCTCACCTACCCATACTGCACTTTGCTAAACAGTTAACGAGAAAATAGGTATTATGAACCTAACCGGGTATTATGAACCGGCTGGGCCCCCTTCCCCCATTGGATCTTGGTTGAATACGACACTGGTTATGCCTAAAACTTCGTTAAATTATAAATATATATAATACCATCAGGCACCGTCATTCAGAAAGTAGATTTTTTAGATAGTAATTATGGTGGAGTCTATGATTACTTAAGTGACACGGAACGTACGTATGTAATTTAGTTGGTTTTCGATACAACGCCTTCAGTTAGTAAATTGGCATAATAACTATGATCTGTGCCAATTTTTAAGTTATTTTCTGTGCCCAGATTTTCGAGTCAACACCTTCTTATAATTAATGTGAGTCACGCGATCTCTGTACCTACAAGAAAATAAAGCTTAATCGATTTTCACAAGTACGGGTTTGCACAACGACTGTCATTTCTCCACGCCCTCGGCGAAACGACATCAACCTTCGCGTTGACGTTCCATTTCGCTCAATGTTTTCATACGGAACATTATCTTTTCCTCGTTACACTTAATATTTAACGAATTCTTGCTTTAACTTCTCGTGGTTGTTGAATAATTTACCGGCAGCATCTTTAGAGCGTTCACGCTGTACACGCGCTTAAATAGTGTGATAACTGATAACGTATCTGAAACCGTTTTCGAGATTTATACAAAATCGCGTCAGTAAATTTTTGTCTAGAAATTATTCTATTTTCTATATTATTTTATTTTCTAAATATTACTCTACTTTATACCTACATTTGAACTGAAAAGAATAGAAGTACCTAGTATTTTTACTAACAATTTTTAAAATATCAGTACGCTTCTTCGTAATAACAATTTGATAAAAAAAAAACTCTGGGAGTGCCGGCAGAAGTGAAAACTTGTTTTTTTATTTTTTTTATTTTAACTGTTTTTTTTCTATTCGAAAAGTTCCGACATGAATGAAATGAACATGAAATCTATGTTGTACGTATATACACATTATATGTTATATTATATTATATTATATATAATTTTATTATCAATGTATTACAACTCAAACTCAACTCTCGTGTGAACGGGGCCAAAATATGTGGATACTCACATACAGAGGTGTCGGTAACGGTAACAGTGTCTCGAGTTCAATGGTTTTTCCCATCTCAAAGTATACATTCTTTTGTTTGTTGTTTAAAAAATGCCTAACGTGCCTAAAGAAGTTTTCACTCCAAAAATGTTTAAGCTATAAATGTATGGACTAGGTGTGGTATAGACATAACTAGGTTTTGATATACTAGTGTTTGCTCAATTGTCAAAATTCATGTGATCGAAGTTCTATAAATGATTCGATCATTTTGGGAAATTCAGAAAATCTTAAATTGGCTTATATGACTTTAGTTGCCAAATTTTTCTTAACATCTACTACTGCGAAAAAGGTACTGAACTGTTTTGTCTTGATCTATCTATATTCATCAATCATCAA